CTCTTTTAGATAAGAGATTTCAGAAAAATGAGTTTCTCCTCAGCAAGTAGCCATATACCAGGGTTACATTTCAGCTCTGGCCAGACATTTGGGAGACAGGTGTATAACTAAGGGAGAACATATCAAGGCTTTTCAAGAAGCAGTTTCTTCTCTTTCTTTCTAGATAGTCTTTAGCAGAGTAAACCAGGGAACTCTATAGGCAATGGATATGAGTTCTAGAAAGTTGGGACCAAGAGCAGTTCAGTAATGGGTATAGTTCAGTTCGCAGATTTTTCATTCCTATTGCCCAGAGTCTGAGTTGAGGGGATCATGTCTTATAAAGGACTTGTTTGCACATTTTCTTATCCTTCCTAATCTTGGAAAGTCACCTGTCTTTGTCTTTAATAAGATGTGTGAACAAACCAAAGCTCCTTCCTTGATGGACCTACTGCCTCTCTCCCCAGTTCTGAATTGGAGAAGCCCCAGAGTTGGCGCATGATGCTTTCTGGTGGGGTGATGTTAGATGAAGGAATTTGTACAGTGGCTAGTTTAAAGGCCCACTTTTCATGATATAAACCCAACATTTAAATGTCTATTTGAAACGGTCTTTATCAGGAAGCAGTACTGGGACTTTTCATTCCTGACTGGCCATTAGATATCTTAAGAAGGAAAATGCTTAAAAGACTGCAGTTATATATTTACTAGGGTTTTTTTTTTAAAGCCTGGGTGATCCCTCTCAAACTGTTGGTGAGGACAGCTTTTTTAGATGACTGAATCAGAGAGGTGCTTACGGAACTCCAGTTAAGGCTGCTGAGAGTGAAGAAGTATGCTGGAGAAACCCTTTTCTATAACAGAGGGCATCTTGGATGCTGGGTGGTCTGTATACTTAACCTGAAACTGTGAAGTTTTCCCTTTTGCCAGTAAACCAAAAAATCAAATCCTTGAAACTTTGCCCTTGAAACATTAAACAAAAGACTGGGTCCTCTGACCCCCTAAAGGCTAAGTGGTTGATCAGGGTGGCCCAGTTCCCAGTCAACATGTAGCAGGGTCAGGAGCTCATGAGGCTCACTGACCAAATCTTGTTCCTCTCAGTGTACCCCATAATCACATTTAATTCTCCCTCTGTTGGAAGTCAGCTTTGCTTCCTCTGCCCCGAGTGCTCCCTTTCCTGAACTGTGTTACTTGAAGCATATTGTGGTGGCAAAGGGGGCTCTAGGATACCTGGTGGAAGGTTTTGCTTTATTTTGAGTCTGCTTTTTCAGCCTTCTGTCCATTTGATTCTGTTGCCCCTTTTCTCCTGGAGCCCATTTCATCACTGTCTCCTGCTGTTTGTCTCTGAAGCCCTGTTTGACCCTTGAATGTCCTCCCTCTCTTTTTTCTCCTTTTTCTTGTTCTGTACTCAGGACTGGCTACATAATTTGCAGAGCCCCTTGTTAAAAAATTATTAATAACTTTGATGGTAACAGTAGATCATGAAACCAAGCCTGGGGTCTTCCCAACTTGCTTCACAAGGAAAAATGCTAATATTTTATTCCATTGTTTTATCCCAGTGTGGCACGCTGGGATAAAACAATGGAAGCTGCTTGTGGCCAGAGATGGGACTCAATATCTCAGTATTCCTGTGAACATTCACTGGTGCCAAAGTACCAGTTGGGAAACTCTGTTGTACTCCTTAGTATTTGGTCCTACCTTTTAAGACCCCATAGAGTCTTTGTAATTCATGGCTAGTTGGGAAGAAAAGAGATAGGTGTTGGGCCAAGGTGACTCATAAGAATCTACCATTGGGTAAACATTCTGGCTTTACTTCTGGTCTCTTAGTATTAGCACCCCAGAAGAAGCTTTTGGGCTTAAATACCTTCTCCCCAGTTGGGTTTTTGCTACTGATAACTTTTCTTCCCTACCATCTTTCTGGCCTCCTGCTGTGCCCTGTTTCACCAGACTCTTCAGCTTCGGAAGTAAATTAAAAATCTGTATAGATGGACACACTGAGTTTGCTGATATGGAGCTGGGTGTGTGGAGGAGAGCTCTGTGCGCATGTGGGAGTGCCCACATGATCTTTGCCCCGAGTCCTCTGAATGTGAGGAAGCAGGCAACAGCGTTAGTTTCAATGTGATTACTCACAGTAACTTCACATCAGAATGAAAATGAAATTATTTTGATGTTGATGTCTCTCTAACACCCCTTCCCTGTCCAATCCACCCTCCCCTCCCCCTCCAATAGCTAAAAGGCTGTTTTACGAAGCAAAGAAGAGTTGTTGACGTCTAACTCCTTCCATTAAATTAATAATAAGTACTGACCTCCTAATATTTAAGTGTTTACTATCTATTGCTGTAAAGTTTTGTATATTTTGTAAAACTTTTTCCCAAATAGTAGATGTCTAAAATCGTTGTACATCTGATTCTTTTATATTCCATTGTTCGGCACAAAGTGTGGTTTTTATTTAGAATAAAAAAAGGAAAATGGAAATGTGTATTCTTTTCCTCTTGGCTGTGAACATGCTCAGACCTTAGGTTCAGAATATCTGGGCTCATCACCCTTTCAGTAGCAGTGTACTTACTCAGCAAATCCCAAAATCGTAGATTCCATATTTTTCTTTCTGGTTTTATCTTATTTTGTTAGAATATTAAGTCAGTGACCCAACCTTTTCATAAGAACATATTTTGTTGGCTGGTAGAGAGCCATGGACCATATTAAGTAAGAGATCTGGCCACAAACTGTCTTACCAACATTATTGAATTCACTGTAGCATGATATGTCTGAGTGGAGAGGGGCTGATGAAGAGTAAGAGGAGTTGGGGAGATAGAAACTGGGAGAGGTAGAGGTTTCGTGTAATTTCGTGAGGTTGACATAAACGTATTCCCACTGAGCAGGATATGAGACCTCTAGAGATAAGGGAGTGGGACGTCCATCGGATCTCAGTTCAAGGCGGGGTCCTGGCTGCCTTCTGCGTGTCAGTGTGAGCAGAGCACAACAGCCCGCTGCATTCAGCATAGCCTGTTCCCACTCTTTTCCTTTTCATGGAAGGAGAGGTCCCGAGGAAGAATTTCTGCTGCCAGAATAACAAAGTTACTGGCTGAAATCAGTGGGAAGGAGAGCAAAGGTTTGGGGAAGAGGTCTCTAAGGTGACCTGGGATGTAGCAGATGGAACATTGGATTTCCTTTTGAAAACCTCTGGAGCCCAAGTCAGAGGCAATGATAATGGACATCAGATCTTGGCTTGGTTTTTGTGTGGAGACAAGTGAGAAACACCATTTTAATGTGTTTTCTGAATTGTGATGTTAAGCCCTTACTGAAACCCCAAGATGTAACCCAGATTCTCTTGGTTTGAAAATCCTTCAGCTCTGTGCCCCTGAACAGCTCTTTGTAGCTTAAGACCCTTTCAGGTGTGGGCCCAGTGAGCAGAGGGATGGTAGACACAGCTTTCTTCCATGTGCCTTGCAATCTAGGGTACATACACCAATGAAGCACAATTTCACTGTACTGGTGACTACAGTAACAAATTTGTAAGACCAGAGAACTCCCTTAAGTAGTTGTTACAAGTTTAATGTTTCACCCAAGCTGTGCACTTGAGCAGGACAGAGGAGCCAGTAAAGAGGATGTCTGATTATATCCACAGTCCCTGCACCCTCCACAAACAGGGTTAAGAGGCCAAAGACTTGGAACTGGACAGCAAAAGCTAGGGCCTGTTTTTAGGCTTGTGTTTAAGTTAGAGTTCTTCATGGACATGGTCATAGTTCCCTAAACTGATAGACGGGCCTTTTCCAGAAGATGTGCTTGTTTACAAGATGGCTTCTCTTCTTCTATCGGACAAGTATGAAAAGAGGTAAGTTGCTGTGTTGAAAACTTATGAAGATTTGACCAGGAAGAAAGAATTATAAAGGTGGAAACCAATTTAGAAAAATGCCAGAACTCTGCCTTGTGCCAGAATTGGAAAAATTCCACTTTGCCCATCCCGCCCCTCCCCATGCAGGATACCAGAGCTGAGGGACAGAGCATCATCTGTCAGTGTGCTGTTGATTGTCCTAGGACCTAATCCCAGAATGTTGTTGTTATGTGCCGTGGAGTCGGTTCTGACTCACAGCGACCCTGTACAGGGCTTCTGAGGCTGTAAATCTTTATAGGAGCAGAAAGCCTCATCTTTCTCCCGGGGAACCGCTGGTAGTTTCTAACTGCTGACCATGAGATTAGCAGCCTGATTTGTAACCACTATGCTACCAGAGCTCCTCCCTATGATCTGGAGGGAAAGAAAGAGATGGGACACTATCTAATTGCATCTCTCCCTGGAAGAAGTCTGGAAATGTCCCAGATCCAAAGCTGGGAGGAGGTTAGGTCTGAGGGGCATTGATTTGAATCCTTGGGGATAGTGCCTTTGCTTCTGGGGGGTTGGGGAGCAGAATGGAAAGTGGGAGGGTAGGACAAGGAAATGGAGCCCTGTTTCCTGGATGGGAGTGGTGATAGAGAGACCATCCTGCCAGTCCAACTGCAGGATGCCTGCCTCAGACCTCAATGAGCACCACCCCATTGTCCCCACCCCCTCCACTTATCACAGCACTGAGGATGCATAGCTCAGGAACGTCCTGCTGAGGCCTCCTGGTTCCTTGGCCTCTGGCCTCTTGTCCCCTCAACTCACATGGTGGCTGGGAGACCAACAAGCACACAAATGCCGAAAGAAGGTTTTGTGAGGTTCCTGCAGAGCTCACTCTTTCCGGCCGGGGTGATTTATGAAATGAGGGCATCCAGTTTCCTCAGCAGAACACCTCTTTACCTTTAGCCCCTTTCCTGAGCTTGGCTGGACACAGATTTTGCAGAGATGCAGAGTAGTAACTGTTTCTATTTATTTCACCTTTTTTTTGGTGTGTGTACATGGCTCCCTTGGACACAAGGACCACGACAAATAGTATGGCACCCAAGGCCTAATCTCTACCCCTTCTCCCTCTCCCCGCCTCAATATTTTAAGATACACCCCAAATTAGCTATGAGTGCTCTGACCTGCTTCCTTGGCCCCCTCAAAATCTCTCCCCTCACCTCTGGCTGGACAGAAGATACTGAGGTGTGGAGACAGGAGAGGTATTTGGAGGCAAAGAGGCTGCTTGAAAGTTCAGGCTTGTGAGGGTGTGGTGTGGGGGCCTGCAGAGGTGGGCTGCATGCCCTCCTTGGTGATGATGATGGAATGCTGAGTGGAGGAGGAGGAGGAGGAACCCCGTCTACCCGTCCTGGCTGGATCCTTGGGAAGGTAATGGACCACAGCACTCAGGAGTCTGCCCTTGAAGCTTGGGTTAAGAAAGTTGTAAAGGATGGGGTTGATGACACAGTGAAGCATGGAGAAGCAGTCGATCACATCGTAGAAGAAGTAGAGCAGGTGGGCCAGGTAGCAGTGTAAGGAAATATGGGTTGAGTGCAGTGTGAACAAGAGCAGGGTCACATGGTAGGGCAGCCAACAGATGGCAAAGACGGCTATGTAGGCACACACCAGCAGACAGTGGCGCCGGCCCTCAGTCTGTCCTGTCCGCCGGAGCTGGCAGGCCGTCAGCACGTTGAAGACAGTGATCAGAGGGAAGGGGAGCAGAAAGCCCAGCACAGTGGTTGACAGGGCCACCACCAGGGCCCATGTGTTGTAGCTTTCAAAGGGTGCCATGAATAGGCACATGGGCTCGGAACCTTCCACCAGCTGGATGTGGACCACCTCAGGCAGAGGGATGATGGCGGAGAGGACCCAGACGCCTGCACACAGGACCCGCCGCCCTTGGTGCTGGTGGTGCTGCCAGTAGGGTGAGGCATTGGTGAGGGTGATGTAGCGGTCAACACTGAGGCACACCAGGAAGAAGATACTGCTGTACATGTTGGCAAAGTAGAAATAGTGAACGAAGCGACAAGAGAAGCTGCCCCAGAGCCAGGTATAGTCTAGCGTGACCTCCAGCATCCACACAGGCAGGGAGAGGACAATGCCCAAGTCTGCTACAGCCATGTTGAGGAGGTAGAGATTCAACAGCCCCACTTGGCCTGAGCAACGCCAGTTGACACATATCACCACGAGATTCTCCACCAGCCCAACCACAAATATGGCCAGGTAGAGGACAAAGAGGACCACACGCTTGGTGCTCTCGCTGAACTCCATGTGGCACTCGGGCAAAGTGTGATTGAAGAAGTAGAGCAGTTCACTCCAGTTGTGAATCTCTGCAGAGTCGCCGGCAGGCACCGTCAGCACCTCAGAGGGGCCAGGCCCCGAGCTAGATCTGACCTCCATCAGGACCAGCAGACACCTACTGGAAAGAAAGCAGGGTTCGAAGAGAAAGGCGTTCAGCAAAGCCGTCCCCAGAAGGACAGAGGGACTGAGGGGTTTGAGGGAAAGATTCTGGGTCTGAAGAGGAAAAAAAGGCACATTTAGTGTTTAAACGGTGAATGAATAACATACAAGTAATTTTCCAGCTTTTGCCCAAAATGCTTTATGAAGGAATTTCCATGCTGGGAGAGAGCAGGACTGTTTGTGCTTAGCAAGATTTCTTCCCAGCCTCAGCTCCAGCCAGTGCTGCCTGCGCCCTGATCCAGGTCTTCATTAAGGGTCCTTGCTCTGTTTTGCCAGTTGGGCTGTGGGTGTGGGACACACATTCCTCTACTTCATCCCTGGGGAAATCTCTGGATCATGCAGAAAAGCCAGTAGTCTTAAAGCCCAGAGTCCCTTCTTCCTGAGAGAGAGAGACACTCACCTGAATTTCAGTTGGGAGCACTTGGGCCTCCAGGCTTAGAAGGTCAGCTGTCGAGCTTTTGGGGAGCTGCAAGGAGGCTGGAGGACTTGTGACAGCAAAGCTGGCTTTGTTGCTGACTTCAGGGCTGCTCTTCCCATCAGGGAAGTTGTTATCACTGGCTGAGGCACTGTGGAAGAGGGCTGAGGTTTTTCCTGCATTCCCCCAATCCAATAACAGGGGAAGTCACAGCAAAAGACCCCTTGTAGGGATAGGGGGAGGAGTCAGGCTGCAAGCATGAAAAGTCAGACTTCACTCATTAGCGCTGTGGTTTTATACCTCCAAATCTCAGTTCTTCTCTCAATAAAAAGGTAACAATAAACCAAAATCAAGCATACTGCCATCGAGTCCATTCTGAGTGACCTTATAGGACAGAGCAGAAACGTCCCCTTTGGGTTTCTTTCTTTCTTTTTTAATGCTTTATTGTGAATTATGTGATAGGTTTACATGGGAGGATATCAGCTTCACATTGATCCTATTGAATATCGTTTCCTTGCCATGGTTACAAACCCTTACATGCATCATCCATCAACCAAAGGGTATACCCCGCAAGACTGCCACCCCCCCAGCCCCTCTCCCTCTCTGGGTCCAAAGTCCCCAGCCGCTCCATCTCCCACGTGATCGTCTCTGCTTCCATCCCTGGCATCACTGATTCTCTAGGTAGGGTTCCGTTCCCCTCTCTTCTTTGATGGTCCCAGGGACCTCCGCTCCTAGACTGCAAGGTTAACCACTCCCCTCCCTTTGCCTCAAAATGTCTACCTTTACATGTCCGTCCTTACAATCAGTCCTGATAACAATTATTCGCTATTGTATCACAAGAGATCTATCCGCATCTCCTTTCATCAGCCCTTACTAGGGAGAATGGATACTACTCAGTGGAGATTCTACCTTGCTCCACACCCTTTGGATCTTGTAAGCCAGTCACTTCTTGCCTCTGTAGTCCCCTCATTCTGGGTAGCCAATCTCCAAGTTGCCCATCCCTGTCCTCTCCGTGTGCGGAGGAGGTGGGAATGATCCTTGCTGTGAAGATTTGTTCACTCTTTTGAGCTACTGCTTCCATAGGTGTGTATGTCAAGTTCATCAAATTGTATCAGATTATTTTTCCCCTCTTCTTTCTTCTTCTGTTTGAACTCTGATCATACAGCCATTGAAGCCAGGTCAAGTGGGTATTATGTATGTGCCCTCTCTTCTTATCAGCTGGATGCTTCACTCTCCACTCTAGTCCTCTGTGGCTATGTTGCTGACTCTGCCCCTTTGGGTTTCTGAAACTGTAAATCTTCATGGGAACAGAAAACCTCATCTTTCTCCTTTGGAGTGGCTGATGGGTTTGAACTGCTGATCTTGCAGTTAGAAGCCCAATGCATAATCCACAGCACCACCAAGATAATGAGGTATTTGTTGTAAAAACTAAAAATGGAGGAGAAAAGCTTAGACCAGGGCAGGGCCTGTAGTAAATGCTCTACAGATAAGTGTATTTTCCTCTTCCAACCAGCTGTTCCTCAGGAACTCTATACAGGATGGCTATGAGTTGGAATCAACTCAATAGCACTTAACAACAATAAAATGGGTTGCTAACCAAAAGGTCAGTGGTTCAAACCTACCAGCTTCTCTGAGGAAGAAAGATGAGGGTGTCTATTCCCATAAAGATGGACAATTTGGGGACCACTATGGTGGTGGTAGTGGTGTGCTGTGGTGTCGGTTCTGACTCCTAGGGCCCTATATAGGATTTCCAAGGCTGTAAATCTTTACAGGAACCCTATATAGGGCTGTTATGAGTCAGAATCGACTTTATGACAATGGGTGCAATGAGTAAGTCACTGGTACAAACTGTTGTTCCTCTGCTAACAGAAAGGTTGGAGGTTTCAAATCTACACAGAGGCACCTCAGAAGAAAGGCCTGGTGATCTACTTGTGAAAAACCAGCCACTGAAAACCCTGTAGAGTGCAGTTCTACTTTGACAAACATGAGATCACAAAGGCAATTGGTACTGATTTCAGTCAGCTTGGAATCCTGCCATACCCATCTTGGTGGTGATGGTGGTGTGCTGTAGAGTTGGTTCTGACTCAGAGCAACCCTGCATAGGGTTTCTGAGGCTATAAATCTTTAAGGGAGCAGAAAACCTCATCTTCCACAGAACAGCTGGTAGTTTCAAATTGCTGACCTTGCCAGGTTAGCAGCCCGACTCTACCAGAACTCCTTACATCCGTCTTGATTCCTACTAAACAGAACTGGATGGGGGAAGGTGTCTAAAATAAATCTGAAAATCAGTTGGGTTTTAATGATTCTGATGAACCTAGTTGGTTGGTTCATGCCCCTCCCATTCTCCCCAACCCCCAATAAAAGTTTTTAGCTTCTTGCTTTCATTTTCTGATCTCAGGTAAAAACCTGGGGAGAGAGAGGAAAAAAAAAAAATCAACCCTGAATGTGGAATGGAGGAGGGGTTAAGTCTTTCTGGAGACTGCTAGTCTGGGGCACAGGAGGAAGAGAGCAGCTTGTTGTCCTCTACATCACACCATACTTCTCCTGGTCAAGTGACTGGTGGTGTGTTGGTGAACCTCTGAGAGCATCATGCTACTCAGAGTACATTCATCTCAGTTTCTCCCACAGGGGAAGGAGGATGAGCTCCTTTGTGGCCCAGAGACATGGCCTATCTCATACTAACCACACTTTTGGCATTGCTGCCTGGAGCTGGGCTCATGGTTTATAGGATTCAGGATCGAGGTTGTGTTGGCTGGAGAGGATGTCTTTAATTTTTCAGTTGTCTTAGATCTTCCACATATACATTAGATCACTCCTGGCTAAAGATATCTGTCAGAATAAATTAAGATGAAGTGAGATGTTGTTTACCTTGGTTTTGCAGATAGTTCGATTTTTATTTTTTTAGGATCTGTTTCTGTTCTATACCCAAAACAAAACAAAAAACTCAAACTCACTGCCACTGAGATGATTCCAATTCATAGCGATCCTATGTAGAGTTTCTGAGACTGGTGAGTTTCAACTGCCGACCTTGTGGTTAGCAGTTCAGTACTTATCCTATACTCACTACTGTTGAGTTGATTCTGACTCATAGCAGCCTTGTAGGGCCAAGGAGAGCAGAAAGCCTCATCTTTCTATCAATTTTTTTTAGCAAGAAGACTTCCAAGAAGTTTTGCTGCCCTCTCCATGCCTTGCTGTTGTTGTTAAGGGTTGTCGAGTTGGTTCCAAACCATAGTGACCCTGTATAGGGTTTCTGAAGAGCAGCTGGTGAGCTTGAACCACCAACCTTGTGGTTCTAACTGACTTTGCAGTCCAGTGCATTAACCCATAGCATTCACCAGGACTCCATGCCTTAGACCCATGTGAGTCTCTTGTAGATGAATTACCCTTCAAGGAAGACCTTACCTCTGGACTTGGTCCTCTCTAAACAGATCACACCTGACCCCCAGTCATTTTCCTTCTTCTTCTTCAGGCAATTTCGTGGTCCGTGTCTCCTGAACCTCTGATCCTTCCACCCCAGGATCTTTCCCTCCCACATGGAGACATGACCCCTTGCAGCCTCACTTCCACCTGTTCTTCAGCTGCCCCTCTCCATCACGCAACGTGTGTTTGTGGAGAGAGGAAGAGATGGTGGCCAAGACACAGAGAGAAACAGCTGTCTCAGGAAGAACTAAGTGACAACTCTGCAGTTTTCCTGTGGGAATTATTTTTTTGGTGGGGGATGGGTGGACAGCTGGGAAGAGTGCGATTGGGAGGAAGGGAGAGGAAGAGGTTAGACACCAGGCTCCTTGCCAACCTGGACAGTGGGAAGGGACAGACAACTTCACTCCTAACAACAAGAGCAGCAGCAGGGAAACAATTCCTGGAAATTTACTCTTTCTCTCCGCCTCCCCCACCTCTTTTTCAAAAAACGTAAACAAGACATTGTGATTAACAATCAGAAAGGAAGGAAGGTAGTGGTTCTCAATACCAGGGAGGTGGTATTGAGAAGCACAGATAAAGACAGGCAACTTCCCAGGATTGAGTGGGGGCAGAGACCCAGAGGAAGGGTTGGGGCAGGCTGTCCCAGCAATTTCTTCACTTGCCTGGCCCCATGCCCTGATACCGTGGGGCAAGTTGGTGGTGGAGAAGTCCAGGCTAAGAAATGTGTCTGAAACCACACTCCCATCCTCAGCCTGAGTTTCCAGAAGGTCACTGAGTGTAGAAGCTAGGTCTAGCTGCAGAGGTTTCTGTTCCTGTGTTGCCTGTTCAGCAGTCCCAGATGAGGATCTTCCCAGGCCCCTCAAAGAGCGATGTAGTCCTGATCCCCTGTCTTTAACTCCTTCTGCTCTGCATTTATCTGCTCCCTCACCCTTCATTGACGCATAGTGCAGATAACACCAGTATGGAGATCAGACCTGGCTTTGACGTCTTGTTCCACCATTCAACAGCTGTGTGATCTTGGACAAGTGACTAAAACTTTCTGAGCCTCAGTTTCTTTATGTGTAACAAAGAGAATGATGCCTTCCTCACAGGGTTATTATATAGG